GTGTATGGAATGGATGCCCTCCTGCCAGTAGAAATCTCACTAAGTTCGCACAGGTCAACATTTTTTGAACAGGAAAAGAACGAGGAACTGGCCAAAGAAGCCCTCGATTTGATCGAAGAAGGACGAGAAGAGTCATGGTTGCGAACAGTTGACTACAAGCAAAAGATGCGCGCAGCAATCGACAAGAAAGTCCGAACCAGACGATTCCAAGTAGGGGATCTCGTCCTCAAGCGTGCAGACGCCCTCAAACATGTCGGGAAGCTAGAGGCCAACTGGGAAGGGCCTTACACAGTCACAAAGGTTCTCTAGAGAGGAGCATACGAGCTAGAAGACGGGGAAGGTCGCCAATTGCCTCGATCTTGGCATGTGATCCATCTTAAACGCTTTTACGCCTAAAGGCTGAGTCACAAGCCTCTTTTTGTACTGAAAAACATTCGAATTAAATTCAGTAATGAAATGAATGTTATGTTTGATGATTGGATTGTCTTTTTACATTTTACCACGATTATCCGCATACTTAAACTTTCTTAAATAAAAGCAACAGTTAGGGAAGACGACTACAAAGTCGATTTAAAACAACTTCAAAGTTGTATGCCTCGAGCGAAATCTCGACAAGGCTACGAAGCCTACGACTACAAAGTCGATTTAAAACAACTTCAAAGTTGTATTCCTCGAGCGAAATCTCGGCAAGGCTACGAAGCCTACGCCTACAAAGTCGATTTAAAACAACTTCAAAGTTGTATGCCTCGAGCGAAATCTCGGCAAGGCTACGAAGCCTATGACTATAAAGTCGATTTAAAACAACTTCAAAGTTGTATGCCTCGAGCGAAATCTCGGCAAGGCAACGAAGCCTATGACTATAAAGTCGATTTAAAACAACTTCAAATTTGTATGCCTCAAGCGAAATCTCGGCAAGGCTACGAAGCCTACGACTACAAAGTCGATTTAAAACAACTTCAAAGTTGTATGCCTCGAGCGAAATCTCGGCAAGGCTACGAAGCCTACGACTACAAAGTCGATTTAAAACGACTTCAAAGTTGTAGGCCTCGAGCGAAGTCTCGGCAGGACTACGAAGCCTACGACTACAAAGTCGACTCAAATAATTGCAAATTGCCATTTTAACTAAGTGTCAACACATAAGATGTCGATAAATTTACGACTGCGAAGTTATGAGTGAAGCCTCGATGAGTGCATGATTAAAACCAATTTAAATTATAAATTCGCAAGAACAGGACAACTCAAGCAAAAGAAGACGAAAGATAATATTCAAGATAGGTTCATTACAAAAATCATCTCGACCTTTACAATCTAAGAATTAGGTCGAGACAGAAACAAATAGTAAAAACAAATGACGGAAAAAGTCACAGAAAATAAAAGGCAACAAGACCAAAAGTACAACTAAGGAACAGCGTCTCAATCGCTCCCCTCGAGGGTGGTCACTGCATGACCTTCCTCATGGCTGGACCCGTCAGACTGGATTGGAGAAGTCAAGGGGGCCTCCAGCTGATACGAGAGCTTGTCATCTCGGATACTCTTGGCCTCGAGACCAGACCACCACGGGTAGTCGTCCGGAAGGGATGGATCGCCTTCGTAGCCATCAGGGTCGGGAAGCGCACGCTTCATCGCCTCGCGGTCAAGTTTCCCAGAAAACTCGGATCCCGCCACCACAGCCTCCCATGCGTCGAAAGCATGGTCGAAATATTGGACGGCGGCAGGGCAAAGCTTGTCGAGAAACTCAGGAGAATTACAGAAAGCCTTGACGACTTCCTTGCGATAGGCCTCGACAAAGGCAGAGCCTAAACCAGTCCTTAAGAATGACTTTCAGCCCTGCACAACGCCGATGTCCACCTCATACATGTTCTCTTCCCGAGCCTTTTCGAGAGCGGCCTGGAGCTTCTCGTTGTCGTGTTGGGCCACGGCCTTGTCGGCCTTTAGCTTGTCAACTAAAGCTTTCGACCCCTCCAGCTCCTTCTTTAGCTGAGCAATCTCCCTAAGTTGTGCCTCACATCTGTCCTCAAGGGCCTTGGTAGAGGAAGTAGGGGCCTGGGTACCCTCCTCGAGGCCGGGAAGAACGGCTGCTAGGAACTAAAAAAAAAAAAAAAAAGGGGGAGAGAAGTAAACAAATAGTGCAAGAGTGAGTAAACATAAACACTAGACTTAAACAAGAAGCACCTACCCGAGTAAGGCATTGCATAGCGTAGTAGGAACGCTCGTAGCTATTTCCTTCGACGCGGGCCTTGTCGGTCTCAGGGAGCAGTGAGTTTAGATATCTTGCCACCTTATGCGGCTCCGGATGATTCCAGAGCCGAGACGGCATCTTGACCAGCACGTCCTTGTAGGTGACGGCGGCATCAGTGTTCCTTTCAAAAACCTTCTCTTTGCCCTTATCGACTTTACGACGTTTAAGGTCGTCGGGAAGAAGAGAAGCGGTCCTTGCGTCTTGAGGCCTCTTGCGGGCACTGGGACCCGAGGACTTGGGCTTCTTGGCAGCAGCAGTCGACTTCGCGCCGGACCCGCCGGGTGGAGGAGGGGCAGACCCACTGGCTAGCTGCCCAGCGGGTTGTTTTTTCTTCACCTCAAAGCGCTTGAGTGCCTTAACTGAAACAAAAAATAATAAAAGCGAAGGTTAGAAGAAAATAAGAAACAAAGCTCGACATTGTAAGGAATGCTGAACAGCTTACGAGGATCATCGAGCCGAGAGAGATCATCATACAAAACGATTCGAGCATGATTGACCAACTCACGGTCTTTTATTATGCGCTGAGCACTATAAGTACACTTATTCAATTCTTCTAAAAGTTTTTCGAAGTTCTCGGATCGAGACTGTTTATTCTGTTTAACTTTAGTACTTATCCAATTATTGGCATAAGGATAAGCGCCGACGGGAGGCCGAATAAAGACAAATTTCGACTTCCACTCCGGGATATTGGAGGAAAGGTCGTCGAGAAAGGTAACGCCTGAACGGCGGATCAAACAATGAGCCCCCTTTTGAGGTCGATAACTATAACAGTAATGAAAAAATTCAGCCGAGAAGAAGCGGAGAATTATGCGAGAAACGACGATAAAAGCTATCATGATACAAAGAGCGTTGGGAGAAAACTGATTTATTGGGATACTATACAGGTCACTTATCTCCAAAAGCTCGACTTGGATGGGGAAGTGCATGCCAAAAAGGACTTGGTCGACAAAGAAAGTATGGCAACCTTCAGGAGGGTAAGCAAAATCGCTGTCAGGACCTGGGGTAATCAACTCCCAATCGGAGGGAAGCCCGCTAAACTGCCTAAATCTCTCGACTTGAGCAGCAGAGGCATAAGAAAAAGGATTCAAAGTGGCCAATTTGGCCAGAGGACAGGCTATCGATACAACCTCTCGAGGATCGACGAGAGGGGTAATTATTGAAACAGGTACAGGGCTTGTACTATACACGGGAATATCTAACAAACTAATAGGAATATCTCAAGGAATTAAGTCGAGGCGAGGAGAGCCTTCCCGAGGAGTCCTCATTATTTCTACAAGACCACCATCCAACAAGGCCTGATCATATTCAGCCCAGTCGACTTTGGGGGTAGAAGCACGCGATGAAGAGGAAGGAGGAGAGACATGGACCATCCCATAACCAGTTATCTCAACTGAACCCGAGTCAGATTGGTTGAGGCCCCTATCAATCAGTCTGTCGAGCGTGTCAGAAGATGAGCCGGAATGGAAAGCTAGAAGGAAAAGAAACAAAAGCAAAGATCAGGCATGACAAGACAAAATTAAACAAAGCACAGTCGACTCATCTAAGTCGACAAAAATATGAAAGAAGAAGAATAATATGGTGTGATTCGATGGAAACAGGGCGGTGAGTCGACATAAAGCCAACCCAAGGAAAGTGTAAAAAGAAAGAAAACGGGTTTCGATAAGAATTGACATAATAAAAGTCGACAAAAGGTTACACGCTGCAACCCAGCCACACGCTAACAGTTAACCTAAAAGGAGAGTATGCATACGAAGATCTAACATAGAACCTTCAAGGAAAAAGTTGAAGAACACGAAGAACACAGGGGCCCAGAAAAACCCGAAAACGAGAAAGTAAAAGAAAGAAAGAATATAGTAGAGAAAGTAGAGCACTTACACATATTACTCATGACGGTCTGAAAGGATGTTGGAACTGTGAACAAAATCGCCGGAGAAAAAAAGCTCGGATCGTTGGATCGCCGGAAGTTGCAAAGAAAATTTGGAAGAGGTGAAAAGTGTTTAAGGAAGAAGTTCAATTGCATTTATAGGAGATGAGGATGGATGTTGGCCGTTAGATCAACAAGAAAACCAACGATCCTGATGTAGCACAGAATACGAAGAGTCAGCGATTGATGGGACGCGCGTCACTAGTAGGGATTTTTTGAAATTCAAAATTCAAAAGAGAATGTCAATGTCAGGCTCATCTGGAAGAATAATCATTAATGAAAATATTCGACCCAGATAGCAAGACATGATAAGTAACCAAGGAAATCGGGTATCTTAAAGTCGAGAAGAAGTGGCAATCGCCCCCTATTCGCATCGATTTCGACACAATGGCCAGAATATATCGAATTTTTTGAAATGGCTATATAGCCGGTCCAATCCAGCTCGACTTCGACCAGCTCGCAAGATGGGTTGGGAGAAGGCGACTCGAAAAATTTAAGTTCAACAGTTACGAAGCTGTCGAATCCGTTGCTCGACTTCGACCAGCTCGCAAGATGGGTTGGGAGAAGGCGACTCGAAAAACTTAAGTTCAACAGCTACGAAGCTGTCGAATCCGTTGCTCGACTTCGACCAGCTCGCAAGATGGGTTGGGAGAAGGCGACTCGAAAAACTAAAGTTCAACATCTACGAAGCTGTCGAATTCGTTGCTCGACTTCGACCAGCTCGCAAGATGGGTTAGGGAAAGACGACTCGAAAAACTTAAGTTCAACAGCTACGAAGCTGTCGAATCCGTGTCTCGACTTCGACCAGCTCGCAAGATGGGTTGGGAGAAGGCGACTCGAAAAACTTAAGTTCAACAGCTACGAAGCTGTCGAATCCGTTGCTCGACTTCGATCAGCTTGCAAGATGGGTTGGGGGAAGGCGACTCGAAAAACTTAAGTTCAACAGCTACGAAGCTGTCGAATCCGTTTCTCGACTTCGACCAGCTCGCAAGATGGGTTGAGAGAAGGCGACTCGAAAAACTTAAGTTCAACAGCTACGAAGCTGTCGAATCCGTTGCTCGACTTCGACCAGCTCGCAAGATGGGTTGGGAGAAGGCGACTCGAAAAACTTAAGTTCAACAGCTACGAAGCTGTCGAATCCGTTGCTCGACTTCGACCAGCTCGCAAGATGGGTTGGGAGAAAGCGACTCGAAAAACTTAAGTTCAACAGCTACGAAGCTGTCGAATCCGTTGCTCAACTTCGACCAGCTCGAAAGATGGGTTGGGAGAAGGCGACTCGAAAAACGTAAGTTCAACAGCTACGAAGCTGTCAAATTCGTTGCTCGACTTCGACCAGCTCGCAAGATGGGTTGGGGGAAGGCGACTCGAAAAACTTAAGTTCAACAGCTACGAAACTGTCGAATCCGTTGCTCGACTTCGACCAGCTCGCAAGATGGGTTGGGAGAAGGCGACTCGAAAAACAAGTTCAACAACTACGAAGTTGTCGAAACTGTTACTCGACTTCGACCAGGTCGCAAGATGGGTTGGAGAGAAGACAGCAAGGCGAAATAAGAAAACCAAATAACTAAACGGAAAAGCGACAAGATACAAGAAGGCGATGATATAAAAGCGGCGCAATAAGCATTATATTAAAAAGAAAATTCATTACAT